TACCTGCATCTTAGGAGTTAAGCTAGGAAAGGAAGCAGGAACTTGGGAGCGGCACTTGCACACAGGAATACTACAAAATGGGAAGATTGGCAGGTGTGTGTGTGTGTGTGTGTGTGTGTGTGTGTGTGTGTGTGTGTTGATATTAGATATTACAAAAATGCATTAAAATACTACTAAGCAGAAAATCTATGGCAGAGTCAGTAAGTTTTTTAAGTAAGAGCCTCTGGATACATGAGGTACCACTGAATTCATAACTACTACTATGGGTGTGTGTTTGAAGAACAGACACAGTATGTGCTCTTTGGTACATCTTTCTCTGCTCAGCCATCTTTGGTTACTGTGTGCAACTACTTTATATGCTGAAAGAGTGTACTGTATAGAACTCATCTGGAAGAAGTGGTGGTGGGGTTTGGAGGTGGAGGATGGAGTCCTTTGGGAAACAATTCTATTTATAGGAATCGTGGTCTGTTTCTCTACAACCTAAAGGATTATGTGCTGATGAGGATAATTTCATGACCAATTTGGCTTCTATAAAGATCTTCATTGTTCCTTTCTCATTGAGGATCATAAGTATAGAAACATTTTGCCTGGGAATGTTTTTATTCTTTAAGAAGATTCTATTTTAAATATGAAATGTACTTGCTTTAGATCTGTGCTTCTGAATTTCCAAAGGAAGTTCTTTTTATAAATTAGCTGAATTCTCTGTGGGCTTGTGTTTATCAAGTCCTGTTTGCAAAGTATCTTGCAGTGGCATAAACATCACTTTAAAGCAGGAAGTTAGCTTTTAATCATTAGTCTAGAGTCAAGAGCTTCAGAAAATGAAAATGCTCCAGCTGGAAGAAAATTTGACGTAAGTCACAACAGGAAGTTAGGTGACTCTGGCTTTGCCTCTCCACTCAGAGCTTTTGGGCATGTACATTCATTTGTGCCTCTTAAATGCCTACTTTGGGCATGGCCTCATGTAACACTCTCGTGTACGCCAATCAAATGAACTCCTCAGTCAAAGTGCAAAGACTCTGTTAATATATAAACTTCCAAGTGCAAAGAAAGGAAAGAGGCTTTACTTTCACAGCTATAAAACTGTGTGAATAAACCACCATTCATTTACTCATTCTGCTGGGGAGAGACCATACTTGGGTAGTTTCTATTTTTTTCTATTCCAAACAATGTTGCAACGAATAATCTTGTACACATCCAAGAATTTCACTAATACAGTGGTTCTAGAAGTGTGAACCAGAGGCCCAGGATCCCCGGATCCCTTTCAGGTAGTCCATGAAGTTTCACCATTTTCTCTCTCCTTCTGTCAAGTATATGCTGTGGTATTTTCCAGAGGCTGACTGACACACCCACAATGATCTGAAAAAGGGTATTAAAATACTCCTACCTCTTCTAATTATATGTGTGTTAAACTGGATTTTCCTTACCTACTTCAACCAAAACAATGTATCACAACATTTGAAAGCAAATAAGAGATTCCAGTTGTCTTCTCCTAAGCCAGGCATTAAAGAGATTTGAAAAATGTTCAAAGCCACTGATCTCCCTAAATTTAGAAATTGAATCATTTTTCAAAAAATGAGTTTATTTTAAAATGGATTAATATACAAATGTTTAAAAAATTCCAGCTTTAATTTCTAATATATTAAATATTGCTAGATATAATAAATGAAATTTTAGGAGGCTGTTGGTTTGGACTGAGCTCCTGTACTATGCCCAAGAAGAACCAAAGGAAAATGGAGTCACTCATGCTAAAATTTATATCACCAAGCCAAAACTAAAGCGTTTGTCTGACCTTCTGAGAAAGAAGTGCCAAATCCCCAAACAGACCAATTTTAGGCAGCAGTTTAAGGAAGTCCTCTGTTTTAACTTTTACCAGGAAGGTAACTTTGAATGGACCAATCCAATTTTTGTTTTTCTTTCTGCTTTCTTCAGCCCTTTTCTATCTATAAAGCCAATCTTCTCTGTTCAGCTCATCAGTGCAATGAAAATCAAAAGATCAGTATAGAAGGAAGGGAACAAGGGGAGGGAAGAGGGGAGGGAAAAGGGACATACTGGAATGGTATTATTCTTTTGTTATATTGTGTGCATGTATGAATCCCACCATTATGTACAGCTATAATGTATGAATAAAAATATGGAAAAAGACAAAACTGATAAAAATAAATAAATGTTGGATTGATGAATAAGATAAAAATCAATTAAGATCTTTAAATTAAATTTGTTGTAATTTTGACAACAAAATTTGACTAATATAACCCATGTAAACATAAATTGTTTGGGATCTTTGATAATTTTTCAGAGTAGGAAAGAGTCCTGAAATCAAAATATTTGAGAAGCATGCCCTAGGGTACAGACCCAGGGGTGGAATTGCTAAACTATGGGGTGGGTGCACGGTCAGCTTTAGGTGATAAAACCACTGATGGTTAAGTTCAGTTTGATATCATTTACATAGAGCTACCTATAATACACAACTAAGCTAAGTACTTGTCACTTAATTGTTGAATGGAATTAAAGAGAATTGAACAGAATCAAAACCCAACTGTTTTATAGTCCTATAAAACAACCCAGCAGATAAGGGCCATTGGCATCTTTAAACACAGCCCAGCCAAACCCTCAGTTTTCCCATGGCTGAGAGGAGGAGGGCACAGTGCCAGGGTCCATTCTGGTAGGCTGGGGTGTTTCCCTTTCAATTTTTTGCCCTGTGGGTCCATGCTGGTTTCTCACTCACTGCATGTGGTAAACAACTGGCTTTGAGTCAAGTCAAGAGTGTGAGCCTCTGAGGAGAGCCTGCCCCCGCCATTCAGCCTGAGAATGAATGAGCATAAGTGGAGGAAGGGAAAAGAGGTGGGAGGGAGGGGAGCTCCCTCTATGGCACCCCAGGAAGGGGAAAAAAAAAACACCCTATACTAATGATGTGAAATGAGCTGTGTGACTTGTGACACATACGTCAGGATCTTGTCTTTGCAGAAAAGGCCCCTGCTCTGAAAATAGCTGAGAACAGTCAAACCCAGAGAGGTGCCTCTGGGCATTCTAGGGGTGCAGCCTGACCTTGCACCTGGGATAAGAAGGGAAAGGAAAGGGCAGGAAGAAAGAGGAAAACCTAGCACTGTGTTAGATTATTTAGTTAGTTCTCATGACAAATCTGTAGCATAGATATTATTCCCATTTTACAGAAGGGTAAATTGAGGCCCAGAAGGATTAGGCAGCATAATTCAAGGGACATGACCTTTGGAGTCAGTTCTAAGTTCTAATACCACAGATATCATCCCCTATTACAGACACTATCCCCTAATGTCCGCATAACTGTGGGTAACACGTGTCCTAATTGGATATATTAGTTTCCACCTTACAGGAATTAAATCCAGTCAAAGAAAATGAAGCATGGAACGCACAACTCTGACACACAGGAAGCGGATATTCACTGAACATGACTCCTCTTGCTCCTTGCCTAAAATTAAGCATCTGGGCAAGGTGACCAGGCCAAACTCCAAGTCATCTGGTGATCATACAGCTCAACCTTGTCCTCCTAGGGATGAAGTGAGTAGGATTCTAGTGCCTCCTACTGTCATTCTGAGCCTGCTCAGGAATATGCACCTGGAATCAATTCTCCAGCATCTGAGGAGACAACAAAGGGTTCCCCCTGCTCCTAGCAGGCTCACCCCTCTCACACGCCTCACTCCCAACACAACCTCCCTCACTACACTCAGGGACGCCTCCCCATGCCCTCACTTTTAGGAAACCCACCTTTAGCATCCAAGAAGGGCCAGTTAGTTCCATCTCATGGCACTCACGAAGCCCTGATTCAGATCTCAGGCCCTGGACTGGTCACTATTAACAGAAGGGGCTCAGTATTGTTCCATTTTCCTCTCAGGCAATATGTTCATGGCCTGCCCTGGGGCATCTTCTATTATACTGTCACATGCAAATGTATGTCCTGGACCCCCTGCTCTGCATCTCCAAGAGTTGGGTCTACTTCATCCAGGAATTCCCTCTTCACTCCTTGGGAAGGAAGGTCCCAGCTCTTTTTATCCCCTCCTCCACCAGATAGGCTTTGCCACTTGTGGACAGCTCAGCAGGGGACCAACTGGGTCAGGTGGGAAAGGAGGAGAAAATCATTTTGCCTCTACATTCCTTGTCTCCTTTGCAAATAACAAGGTGCTATTTTGAATGGATCTGATTCCTGGGTTAATTTTTCAATTGGTTAAAACTCTGGGAAGAGTAGTATGATTTCCACTCATACTCAGTGGACTGGAAGCCTTTTGAAAACAGAAATTGTTTCTTATTCTCAGTAAATAGAAAAAGTATATCGTATTTAACATGGATAAACAAGGCAGTGACTGTGAGAAACCCACAGAGCAACCAGCTAAAAGGGAAACACCCCAACCTACCAGAAGGGGCTCAGTATTTCTCCCTTTTCCTCTCAGGCCCTGGGGAACTATGGGTCTAGCTGGGCTGCCATTGAGGGGCTGATGCCTCTTATTTGCAAGGCTGCTTAGCACCTGCCCATTCAACCAGACTTGATTCAATTCAATTAGACTTAATTTCTTTCAACAACCAAGTTTTCAGAGGCTAGGCTGAGCAACTGTGTTCAAACTGCTAAAGCCCAGCTCCCCAGAAAACAACCTTGGAGTGACGTGATTCCAGAAAGAGAGCCTAATGAATAGGTATTTTAACTGGGACAAGAGATGGGAGGAGTCAGAACTGCAGCCAAGTTTTGTTATAATTGAGGGGTTGAGTTTCTGCTTCTCATGCCGAGACCTCAGAGCTTTACCAGGGAGAGGGAGAATTCACATCTCACCCCAAACAGGCCAGGCCACCTAGAGCTGCTCCTCCAAGGTGCTCAGACACAGGTGTACTTATGCTGCTGCGGAGCTGAAACAGGAAAACTAAGGGGGGAAAGCAAATCAAGGCAGGAAAAGAAAACAGTTAAAGCTGTTCCTGTACTGAAAATTTCTAATTTTGATATTTTAGTTACTTTTAAAAACATACTCATCTATTTTCAGATCAGAAGACAGTAAGGAAGAGAAAAAGGTATCAAGGAATGCTGGTAAAAATAAAACGTTATGTAAATTGCAGGAGAAACTCTACATGTCAACTGGACCTAATAAAGAGAGAGACAACCAGATGAAGAGAAAAGCTCCAGCAGAATTGAAGAATGTTTACATTCTTGCAACCACAAATGTGAAGTGAGCTCAAAACCCAGTGGGAGTTTAACAAAATACTTAAGTTCAAAGTGAGGCCGCTCTGTGCATATTCCCCTCCTGGTTGCCCTGGCAATGAAACATCTGCCTTATAGTAATGAAATATTACTGAGAAAAACCCACAAGCAAAAGAGAGTTTCTGGACATATAAGCTTGTTATTCCTCCGATTGACATTGGTCTTATGAGTGTAGGAATCAAATAAAGTAGCTGCCTCTGCCTGTGATCATCCCTGTGTCACTCCCTCACGCCACTGCCTGGCAGGACACCCCAGGAACCCAGGACTAGGAATCCCCAGAGCTTAACCTCCTGGAGGCTGCCTGAGGGGTTTGGCATTGGGGTCTTGCACTCAGGAGGGGTTAGCGAGAGTAGAACTGGAGTCCACTTGTTAGCTAGCTAATTAATTTTTTTAAAGAATTTTAATATTTATTTTTTAGTTTTCGGCGGACACAACATCTTTGTTTGTATGTGGTGCTGCGGATCGAACCGGGGCTGCACGAATGCCAGGTGAGCGCGCTACTGCTTGAGCCACATCCCCAGCCCCTAGCTAATTAATTCTTGAGAACGTCATGGAGATGTCAAAATGAATAAGATGAGATTCGTGTTCTCTGTGTGAGAAGAAAGTAGAGAGACATACATACAAGTAGTTGTACTATAGGACTAAGATGCCCAGTGGCTTGGGAGGCTCAGGCAGGAGGATCACAAGTTCAAAGCCAGCCTCAGCAACTCATTGAGACCCTAAGCAACTTAGTGAGACCCTGTCTCAAAATAGAACATAAAAAGAGCTGGGGATGGGCTGGAGTTGTGGCTCAGTAGGAGAGCACTCACCTATCACATGCGGGGTGCTGGGTTTGATCCTCAGCACCACATAAAAATAAATAAATAAAATAATGATATTGTGTTCAACTACAACTAAAAAAAATATATATATTTTTTTAAAAGGCTGGGGATGTGGCTCAGTGGTTAAGTGCCCCTGGGTTCAATCTCTAGTACCCTCCCCCACCAAAAAAGAAGAATGAATTGAGGAAACAAAGTACTGTGGGAAAAGGAATTCTTTTCCTCTTCATTATTCTTTTCTTATATAGGTCATTTTTTTATAGAAAGAAACTTATAAAAATAATGAAAAGGAAAAATTTAAGTTTACTCCAAATCATACCAGATATAGAAAACCATCATTAACATTGACATTTATGGTATAACTTTTCAGATTTACTTCTTAATGAAAATATGTGCATGTGTTCAAAGCATATGTAAACCCTTTCTGTGTATAGATATATTTTTTCTGTAACAGAATTCTGCTATATATTGGATTTTATTTTTTGACACCTAACAATACACCATAAGCATTTTTTCAACTGACACAAATATTAGCATCAAGATATTTAATATCTGCATTGTATCTGTTACTTAACCTAAAATAATTTAGCCAAGCAAGGATGAGAGATGGGAAGGTGGTGTCCTCACTTGACATGAGGGGATTCCACTGGCAACCCTCTGCAGTTTGCAGAGCCAGTGCTGTGTGGATCCTGCTTGGGAAATCTATAGGGCAGATGCTGGCTGGCTGGCAGCCGATGGCTGATCTGGGATTAGCCTCCACTGGGGGGTTGTCAGAGCCCAGAATGCATTTCCATGATTCTCACCTCCGAGGAACAAGTTGCTTGGTGATTACATCAACATAAAGGTTTCAGTTGTGTTACATAACGGGACTTATGCTAATGAGGACCCACTGGGAGGCTGAGGAGGAGAAGGATGCTGGCAGAGTCCTGATATAGGAGATGAATCTAATTGTGTGTAAGACAACTGAGGGAAGAGAGGAAAGAGATCAGGAGATCAGTGAACAGGCTCTAGTCAAAGTCTGAAGAGAAAGCTTCCCTGCTTTCACAGCAGCTCAAGGATCTGGGTTCAGGTTCAGTCTTACCACTGATGAACTTGAATCAGCCACTTCACTTTCCTGAGCTTTTAATGGCCCATCATTAATATGGGCATAAAAAGAACCCAAGGGGGGATGAAAACACTATGGATCTTGATAGAGATGAAGTTGTATCTATAACATCATGATTGTTTTAAATGCCACTGAATTTCATACTTTAGAATGGTTAATCCTATGTTGTGAATTTCACTTCAATTAAAAAACAAAACCACTCCAAGAGTGTCATGATGATTAAGGGACAACCCTGGTGGGCTGGTTCCCATTGCAACTCTCACATGGGCATATTTGAAACTAGCCTTATTCCCTTCCTTGCACTGGCCCCTCTAGGCCTGGATCCCTCCACAGACTTAGAGCCAACAACTTATTTGGACCCCCTGAATGTTTTCCACACTTGTAGTTGTATCAGTTATTAAAATCTCGGTCACTGTGTGGTTCATAATGTCAATGTCCTTTCTCCTGACACTCCTGCTGCTCTTCCACGGAGTAGGCCTGTGCTTGGCCATAAGGGGTGCTTACAAGCAGGGTGTGAGACAAATGTTGTTGACGGCTGTGAGAAGCTGTGTTTCCTGGGGCTTCTCCTGTGTGTGCCATCACCATTTGGCCCCTGGCCATGGCCTCATCCTGGTGCTGATGCAGGGAGGGAAGGCCATGTGTCCCCATCTGTTTCTATCAGGGGCCCACTAAAGAGGCAATTTCCATGTGGGTCCTGTACAAGGTCCTCAGGCAGCAGTCAGCCTGGACCCCCCAATATGGAGGACCCCAGAGGGGCAGCCACATCTGTGTTAGGATTGGGGAGTGGAGGGAGTGAATGGGCTCTCTCGTCCATCCCTCCTTTCAGAGCTGCTCTTGGCGCTAGCTCAACCAAGTGACCACACAGGAAGCCCGAAGTCTCTCACTTCCTGTCCCCACCACTCAGCTAATGTCTGTGCTTCCTTTTGTAGGTCCTTTCTCGTGTCCTTCCTGCTCTTAGTTCCCTAGCTGCTTAGAGGGGAAAGTCATTGTGATGAATTCCAATGTGGATTGGAACTTGCTTTCTCACTCACCACTAGTTAAGAGACATATTTAATTTTACTCCCCATCTGGCTTTATGCTTGATTCTTGATCGATTCCACACCAACATTTTCTTTCCCTGACTCAATGAGGACAGATGACATCTGTGGTTTACCGCTCCTCCCTCATTTGTCCCTGGTTTCTTATGTTCATTACATGATGGACTCTAGGAAAACAGTCATTGAGAAAAATAGATGGTGAAGAGAAGAGAGAGAGCAAAAAGAGATCATCTTCACCCTCAGGCTAGCTCTTGTCAGTGGAGAACACACCTCCAGCCCCTGAGACACTTACTTGCCAGCACTTCAGACATGCTGGCTCTTCTGGAGAGAGCTTTCATGGGAAGTCTGATGTGACAAAGTTGGTGTTCTGCACACAGGAGTGGAAAAGGCTGAGAGATGAGTCTCAAGCCCCCTGGCCTCCTCCCAGCTAAAGCTGTGTCTGCACCAAAATCACACTGCAGGAAATGGTCATGTCCTCTCTACCTGCAGGGACCTCCCCTGACTCTTTTCTGCATGAAGAGCAGAATCCTACCTGTGTCTCCAGGAAGCTTTTCCCACCTCTCTATGGATCTTATATATTGTGCCCTGGGTCCAGGAGATGTCTGATGCAGAAGGGCAGAATGCTTCCTCTCTGTCCTGCAATAATGTCCCTGTGAGGGTCACGGTGTATTGCATGTAAATAAGCTATAAAGTAAAAAATAACATTAAAAATAACACTTATCTGGCTGTGTTTCATTAGTTGCTTTCACCTGTACCTGAGCTATGAGTTCTTCAAAGACAAAGATGCTTTACTAAACATACAAACACACAAAAAGTAGTATCAACACCTATCACACAATGCTGGACACAAAGTAGGCACTTGACAGACATGGAAGACAGGGGAGCTGCCTTTACACAGGCAAATCCTGAGTGGGAAGGTGACACCTGGCTCTTCAGAGCAGCTTTGCCTGAGTTGAAGCCCCTGCTATAGATTCCTATGGTCTTTCTTGTCTTGGCCTACTCCTAATAACTCTTACTACCAACTCTACAGATCCCTGGAACCTCCTACTCTCAGCCAGCACTTGACCATGATCTCTTTCCTCAGTTTCTCCTGCCACCGGCCACCAGCTTCTCCAGCTGGACCTGTCATGGCTTCCCCAGCACTGACCACTGTATGACTGCCTTGGGTTTTCTTATTAAGCCACACTGTGGGCCTAATGTTTGACCCAAAACTCAATAAATGGATGGATGGATATTAGATTTACAGAGAACATCAGCTCTGTGAGCTGATGGGCCTGGGATAGGGGAAAGAACACAGGCAGACCTGCTTCTAATCCTGGCTCAGCCACTAACTAGCTGTATGACCATGACTAGTTACTGACCTTTGAATCTCAGTTCTCTCATCAGCTAAAACAACAACCATGGGTTACCGTGAAGAGTCAATAACATGACCCATATTAAACCTCTTGACCATGTGTCTGACACATGGCACATTCTCGAAAATTGTTTCTTTCCTTCCCTTCCTCTTTTCTGCAAAGATCTCTGCTGAATCTAAATTTCCAACAGCCTTTGAAACCCATGTTCCCTTATTAAATTATAACTTAGGAAGGTCACTGCGCTGTAAGAAAGTTTATCTTTTGAAGATGAATAAGGATCCCAGATGACAGGGACAACCATTGTGCCCCACATTACCCTGGAAAAGATTTCTCATTCCCAGTTCAAATTCCAACAGATAAGGAAAGGGCATCAAAGACCATCAAAGTTTACAAATCACACTTGACAAAATGGAAACAATGACAGGGAAGTCCTGAGTGAGTGAAAACCTAGGGAGGCCTGGGAATGACCCTGGGGCTCTGAGGGACAATGGCCTTAGAATAGAGTAGTCTGCAAACAACTGGGAGCAAATGGCCCAGCCAGGCTCTACCTGGGCTCTCTGATGCAGACTCCCTCAAGAACAGAAGGGAGGCATGGAGGGCAGCATGTGCCCTGGCCTTCTTCAGAGAGGTGAAATGAATTGATTTTGGAGATGCCAAACTGAGCAAAAAGAGCAGGGGAAGCAGTAGCGTCACCTTGCCATTAACAGAGCTGTGGTTCTAAGTGAGGTCTCAGGACCAGCAGCAGCAGCAGCAGCAGCAGCAGCAAATCTGGGTTGCTAGAAATGCAGATTAGCAGATACACCACCTTAATTAATAAGACTTTATGAATAAGAAACTCTGGGACTGCTGAGCAAACTGTATTTTAATAAGTCTACTGGGAGTTTTGATGC